GGCACTGGGATCGGACTTCTGCCTATCCACAAAGGGTCATTTTGTCAAAATGGCTTCAAAGACCTAACCCCTTCCTCCATCTTACCTAGCCTTCTGGTGTGCGGTTACGCCCATCATTGCTGCCGCGCTGATTATAGAGTGAACCAACTGACACAGTTAACTGATTGATCGACCAGATTTATCAAATTCACACGCCTAAAAACCTCGTATCTCTTCGTTTGCCTACTATTGTCTCAACAATAGACAAAACCTGTGTTTGCTGCATCCGAATCAGACTTAATTCGTCTAGACACATTCTTTTCGTTGTCTTTGTACCCCCCGATCCCCCCTCCCCCCCCTCCTAGCTCATAAGACTTTCCTCTTCTGGAGGGTCGGGGGGAGGGGCAACCAACTTGATTCTGCAACGCTGTTTTGGTAACGCCGACGGCGGATTGAAAGGGGAGAGAGGGAGAGAGCGAACGAGAAAAAAGTGTAGGGAGGAGGTTGGCCAACGGCAGAAAGACGGCCAACGCTGCTGTCTATATTGCCACCCACCATGACCGTCTTGGAGTTTCCACCCAAGGAATCCTGCAGAAGGCGAGTGAGTTTGGAGTTGCGGTAGGGCACATGGGTCGATTTTCCGTCCACGAGGGCAGAAATGACATTCCCCAGAGTGGTCAAGGAGAGATTAATCTTGTTCGCCTCCTGCAGGCGCTTTCCTGTGGCGCCGGTCTTCGATTGTCTTTCTGAGCCCTGCAAAGAACCAAGAAAAGAGCGATAATTTTAAAGGGCTTTCCTTCGCTTTGCCTTTTGTTTTGATTAAAACGCGAGCCTGTCTGGGAGTTCGGGAAACATAGTTGCGAAATTCTATCAGGGAATAACGAATTTGGTGACGTTTGAAAACTGAAAAAGTATTGCGGCATCCGTAAAGCAGAAAAATTGTCGGTCATGATTTGTATTTGTTTTTTACCTTTTTTATACAAAAGATGTTAATTGCATTAACCTGCTGTGAAGTTTTCAGTATATTATTTCGCGAGTGGCGAACGCATTCATCGGCATGCAAAAACTTATTTGAATAATTCAGAGACAAACCTCAAATACAACTGAAACTGTATAATTGCGGCTATTGTTAGTTCTTCCGCATGACTTAACCATTCACTGAAATCGATCCATTAAAACGACTCAAAAACATGAAATTTTGTAAGCGTGAGATTTACTTTGCAATTTTGATGTATCGTAGCCTCAAACTTCAGATTCCGTATGTAGTAGTTTTTGCACAGACGGCATAGGCTCAAGCACCGTTGTGAGCGGAATACTTTCCTGTCAGAAACGATAAAAATCCTCCAAAAAAATCGCGAATACGGGCTGGATCCAACTGGCACCTTTACTGTTATGTTCAATTATATTTTTTAATAAATTAAGAAAGCTCCCCCTATGTATCACCTTGTTGTCATGTTTGTTTTTACCGCAGTCGACTGCAATCAAAGAGCCTGTCAAGAGCCTGTCATCGTCCACAGCCTTAGGAAGTTCAATCTATTTTTCTGTTTTCTCTCAGTGACTACATAGTTATATTTAAAATCCACAATATGGAGCATGGAACCATTAAGCATGTTAATTGACCTATTGCACGAATGATCTGTGCGTTATTGCTCGCTTTTGTTGACATCAGAGCAAGTCTCTCTTTGAAATCCTAAGCTACTGACAATACCGCAGGTTGTCCACCTTAATTCATTAGTTTGGGGTGAGATGCAGAAGGCCCATAAAGAGTATGGATTACAAAGCTCTTTGAAATACGTTTATAATACTTTGAAACGTTGCATGTAGTAAAGCTGCAGGACAGTAGCCAACGGCAGCCTGTAAACTATATCTTCTAACAAACTGTTTACGGATAGAAGTGAACAGATGAGTTCCAGAAAATGGATAAGAACAAGATGTGGCTTCTGTCTCCCGTTGGCGCATTATCATCTTCCAAACTAACGATGTTTGCTGTACATGTAACTGACTTCGAAGACACAACATAATTTGAAATAATGCTTTCTGATTTGACACTCATCAGTGATGCTTGTGTAGTACAATATGATGATCAGAAAGTGTTAGGCCACAAGCGAGACACAAGCGTCGATGGCTGTGGAGATTACAGTGGTAACGGTTGAGAATGGCAACCCCAGTGTGGTTCACTGAGGAAGTCTGACTAAGGAGGTTTTTGCCTATCCGCGCAAAAATGCGTTTTTTCGTAATATTGTCGTAGGGAAAATCCAAAAATATATCGCGTTTGCCAACTATTCAAGAGAATTTTAACTAAAAAACAGGTTTTAGGTTGCGATTTAAAGTCCGTTCAAGGTACATGTCTTCGAACATCAAGCGCTGTCCTCAGTATCGATGTCAACATTTTGTACATCTAAATTTAGAACATAATGTGCTTAACCTTGCTTTAATCGAACCTGAAAGGTAGGGAGTGATCTAGTTGTTTACACTATTATCACGAGCTCAAGTGCTGGATCGGGAAATTTGGGTTATATGTTGTGTACGTGAACTACTTAGTATATTCGTTACTTTTTCATGATTGAAAGTTTAGTAAAAGTGGCTAATCTTTTGGCGTCTTCTAGCCTCGCACGCTGTTTACATTTTGCCTACCCTGCATCATGGTAAATCCCTTTCTGTAACGACTCACCGCCATGGTTCCAACGTTAAATTTTCATATCTTCTTTAGAGAGTTCTATGTTTGCCTCAGAGAAGTAACTACTTGTGCACATAATGAAAGGCACGCAAACGTTCTGTTAGGTGTGTGAATGCATTAAGTGGGGTTTCAGTTGTCCTATCGGCATCGTTTAGAGCGTGCTAAGGTCTTTACAGCTAATGTGAACTATGTAATGACAGTGTCCTAAAAAAACATTTCAGTCAGAAAATTACATCTTATCATGAGCTGACAGTCAGCCCACATCTCATGTGTGCGGCTCAATCACCTAAATGACGTTTTATCCAGTCTTGGTGTTTTTAAGACCCCAGAGACTACTTATTGTCTGATTATGAGTCAGACAGATTTGGACTTACTTTATTACTTTGACTAGTAAAAGCAACATGTTGATAGTATTGCAGGTTAATAACAGTAGATGGTTTATCCCTTGAAATTCCGACGAAGTCTAAAATGTGCTTTTGATTCGAAAAAAAAGCTACTTAAGTAGCCTTGTAATACTGATTATCGGGCAGCCTAATCTCAAGATATTTCAATCACTTAGAATGCTAACGTTTGAAAAAACTTCTTTCTGACCGCCAGTAAAGAGCGCACTCTGTGAAATGGTCACTTAAGTAGTATGCCGTTCTCTCACTGATTTGCGATAGCCTTATAAATTTCAATGTATTTTGTAAAACAATGTACTCTTTTTGTAGCAGCTTATGTCTTCTTTAGGGTTTTACTTTAAGAAAAGGTACTTTTTGGTTTTGAAAACTTTCTAAATTGCCAAATAATTTTGAATCCTAATGGCAGTTACGCTTCGATTCAAAGTTTCCAAACTACAAGCTCTATTCAGTGCGAAGGGAACATCGCATATTCCTCCATATTTTGCGAAAAAGGTCGCATATTTCTAATATAATTCGTTAACGGACGTGGATTTCGTTGTATACTTTATAGATGACGTGGATAAATTGATGTGTATGTTGTATTACGAATGGTCCTTTCACTATCTTAAAGAAAACTGGTCATAAGAATTTTTAAGACGGAAAGCCACTCCTCCTTCAATCATTAAACTTATAGAAGGCGTGATTTGCTGAATGCTTTCTGTGGCATACATTTGAACTTCTAAGGGCATCGAAAAACACCCTGAAGCGCATACTACTTAAGCAGCCACTTCACAGGGTATGCTTGAGGCAGGCAGGCAATCGATTGCATCGTAACTTGGCTGATATATCTTGTGATAATCAATATTACTGTTATTTTCACTCGTAGAGCTAAGTGGTGAATCGCATGGAATCATGCTCTTGCTATATACTGGATTATCTCCCCGACTTAATTAAGGATCCGAATAAAATGCGCAGAACCAAAAACCACTTCTAGGAAGATGTTAACTTTTCAGTCCTTTTAGTATATAGCAAATGTTTATTGCTTCTGGTTGCCCTTACAGCGTTGCCACAGCTTCCCACCATTTACGCCACACTAGCGTGATTTAATCTCGACGTGGATTCAACATTAGGAGGAAAGTATATCGTAATCAAATACGTAGATCTCGGTTACGGTTTTGTCAACGGCGGGAGAAATAGACAAAGCAAACATTTTGGGGGAATTTGTCATGCCCTGCGTCAGCTCCCAGTTCGACTTCCCGCACAATATATTAAGTCAATTCACATCGATTAGTCAATTGATGAGCTATAAACGCTTCACGGCGAGCTGCGCATACCTACCACGGCTTCAACTTGAAAGGGTTTTTTTTTGTTGGGTACAGCAAGGGACTTAAGATCAGTACTGTTAATGACGCACGTAGTTGGTCGCATACAGTTTTTGTAAGTGACCACAAAAACCAGTTCACCGTCGGGCATTTTACCTTAGCACAAGGTAACCGTCACTTTTTAGCTAGAAACATCGACTTCCCCACCGTCTATACCCGTCGCTTGCATTTTTACAGTAAAAAACGCATCGCAGTGCAATAGCAATTACTTTTCAAAAGTACACCGGTCTAGCCTTGGATTCCTGTCCATCTGTGGCACACATCGAAAATTTTGTGTAACCATCAAAAGGAATACCTTAACAGTTGAAGGCCGCATGCCAAATAAAGTATCACGACCACCAAATGCCTGTTACCCCTAAATTTGATCCGACCTACTTACAGCAACTGCGACAGGCTTCTACACTGACACTGCAAAAGCACTGCACCTAGACATTATTAGCATAAAAACGAAGTAAAATCCGCATCAACTAGTACAGATCAATGCAATAAAATAATTTACTAAGTACCGTGAGATATGGGAGCTGAGCTTTAACCAGATAAATATACTCCATAAGACAAATTGCAACAAAAGGAAGAAGGACACGGCAGACGTCAGTGGCTTGAGCCAGCATTTAAAAATCGATCAGTTAGAACTAGAAACCCAGTTTGAGAATCTTTATAACCAAACCTATGATTTGAAGCCCAGCTCCGCAGAAAGTGTCCAACACTTTAAATCAACACTAGTGAACTGCAGTTACCAGTACCTCAACAGGAGACCTACAAACCGAGGATTATTGACAAAAGCGCACCTATAAAAGTTAAAAGAACTGCGACGGATCGCAGACATCCTGGTCACTAGACCTGATAAAGGTCGCTACGGTCGCTACGTGGATGATATCTTCGTGATCGCCACAAACAAAACCGATAGAGACGCACTCTTAAGAGCGGTCAATCAAGCCGATCCATCCATACAGTTCACGTTGGAGACGGAAACAGCAGGTTCTCTCCCATTCCTGGACGTCCTCCTTAGTCGTAGACCCGACGGTAGCGTCCGAAGGAGCGTGAATAGAAAGAAAACCTGGTCTGGACAATATACGAACTTTAACAGTTTCGTACC